CCCAGTGCCCATCCCAGTGCCCCCAGTGCCCATCCCAGTGCCCCCAGTCCCCCTAGCTCCCCCTCCCAGTGCCCCCAGCGCCGCGGCAGCGCCCGGGCAGCACCTGGTACTTGTTGGTGGAGTTGAAGGGGATCTCGGTGACTTTGGGGTTGCGCTCGCGCATCCGGCGCACGGGGCCGCACGACAGCTCGATGCACTTCAGCAGCGCCGACTCGGACGCGTCGCCCGCCGTGTCCCGCTGCGGGGGCACAGCGCTGGCACCGCGCCCCTGGGTGCCGCTGCACCCCGGGGTGCCGCCGCGCCCGCCCCCGCCGCCCCCGGACCCCCGACCTTGGAGATGGAGACGTTCTCCTGGCCCGGCTTGAAGACGGCGCGGTTGCAGAGCCCGGCGATGCGCGCCAGGGCTGCCCAGGTGGGCGAGCGCTTGTCGAAGGTGGCACCTGGGGACACGGGGCACCGTCAGGGCACAGCTGGTGTCACCAGTGTCACCCACTGACCCGCGCGGTGTCACCCACTGACCAGCCCAGTGTCACCAGTGCCACCCATTGGTGTCCCCAGGGCTGCCCAGGTGGGCGAGCGCTTGTCGAAGGTGGCACCTGGGGACACGGGGCACCGTCAGGGCACGGCTGGTGTCACCAGTGTCACCCACTGACCAGGCTGGTGTCACCAGTTCCACCCACTGACCAGCCCAGTGTCATCAGTGCCACCACTGGTGCCACCCACTGACCAGCCTGGTGTCACCAGTGTCACCCACTGACCAGCGCGGTGTCACCAGTGCCACCCATTGGTGTCCCCAGGGCTGCCCAGGTGGGCGAGCGCTTGTCGAAGGTGGCACCTGGGGACACGGGGCACCGTGAGGGCACGGCCGGTGTCACCAGTGTCACCCACTGACCAGCCTGGTGTCACCAGTGCCACCCATTGACCAGCGTGGTGCCACCCACTGACCAGCCCAGTGTCACCAGTGCCACCCACTGGTGTCCCCAGAGCCGCCCAAGTGGGCGAGCGCTTGTCAAAGGTGGCACCTGGGGACACGGGGCACTGTGAGGGCACGGCTGGTGTCACCAGTGTCACCCACTGACCACCCCAGTGTCACCAGTGCCACCACTGGTGTCACCCACTGACCAGGCTGCTGTCACCAGTGCCACCACTGGTGCCACCCACTGACCAGCCTGGTGTCACCCACTGACCAGCCCAGTGTCACCAGTGCCACCACTGGTGCCACCCACTGACCAGCCTGGTTCCAGGGGATTGGGGTGCCAGGGGATCGGGGTTTTGGGGGATCATGGTGCCAGGGGATTTGGGTACCAAGGTGCCAGGGCATCAGGGTTTTGGGGGATCGAGGTTCTGCGGAATTGAGGTTCCAGGGATTTGGGGTTTTAGGGGATGGGGGTGCCAGGGGATCCGGCTTTTTGGGGATCAGCGTTCCAGGGCATTGGGGTGCCAAGGGGTTTGGGTGCCGAGGTCCCAGGGCATTGGGGTGCCAGGGGATCAGGATTTTGGGGGATCAGTGTTCCAGAGGATTGGGGTTTGGGTACCGAGGTCCCAGGGCATTGGGGTGCCAAGGGATTGAGGTGTCAGGTGGTTTGGGTACCAAGGTGCCAGGGCATTCAAGTTTTGGGGGATTGGGGTTCCAGGGGATTTGGGTACCGAGGTCCCAGGGGATTTGGGTGCCAGGGGATTTGTGTTCCACGGGATTGGGGTGCCAGGGGATTGGGGTTTGGGTCCCAAGGTCCCAGGGCATTGGGGTGCCAGGGGATTGGGGTGCCAGGGGATTGGGGTGCCAGAGGATTGGGGTGCCAGGGGATCAGGGTTTTGGGGGATCAGTGTTCCAGGGGATTGGAGTCTGGGTACTGAGGTCCCTGGGCATTGGGGTTCCAAGGGATTGAGGTGCCAGGGCATTGGGTCCCGAGGTCCCAGGGCATTGGGGTGCCAGGGGATTGGGGTGCTGGGGGATTGGGGTGCTGGGGGATCAGTGTTCCAGGGGATTGGGGTTTGGGTCCCGAGGTCCCTGGGCATTGGGGTGCCAGGGGATCGGGGTGCTGGGGGCGCTGTGGGTTTTGGGGTGCCCCCCACACACCCGACTGGTCCTCGGTGGTGTCGGCCTCGTGGATCTGGTTGTCGAACCACATGTGGGCCACGGTCATGCGGTTCTGGGTGAGGGTCCCGGTCTTGTCGGAGCAGATGGTGGAGGTGGAGCCCAGCGTCTCCACGGCCTCCAGGTTCTTCACCAGGCAGTTCTTCCTGGCCATGCGCTTGGCCGTCAGCGTCAGGCACACCTGGGGGGCACCCCGGGGTGTCACGGGGGTGGGACCCCCCCCATGGGCTCTGGAGACCCTCCCCAGCTCCCCAGAATGATCCCAGTGCCCCACATCCCCCCTCCAGTGCCCCTTCCCAGCGTGGCGGTGGCCAGCAGCCCCTCGGGCACGTTGGCCACGGTGATGCCCATGAGGAAGAGGATGATGGAAGCTCCAACTCCAGTTCTCCCAGTGCCCTCCCAGTGCTCCCAGTGTCCTCCCAGTGCTCCCAGTGCCCGCAGTGCTCCCAGTGCCCCCAGTGCTCCCAGTTTGCTCCCAGCCCCTCACCGTGATGGTGGCCAGCAGCCCTTTGGGCATGTTGGCCATGATGATGCCAATGAGGAAGATGATGGTGGAGCCCTCCCAGTGCTCCCAGTCCATCCCAGTCACTCCCAGTGCCCCTTTACACCCCCATATCTCTGTCCCAGTCCCTCCCAGTTTGCTCCCAGTCCCTCCCAGTCCATCCCAATTCCCAATATCTCTGCCCCAGTCCCTCCCAGTTTGCTCCCAGTCCATCCCAGTCCATCCCAGTTTGCTCCCAGTCCCTCCCAGTCCATCCCAATCCCCAATATCTCTGCCCCAGTCCCTCCCAGTCCCTCCCAGTTTGCTCCCAGTCCCTCCCAGTCCATCCCAATCCCCAGTATCTCTGCCCCAGTCCCTCCCAGTCCCTCCCAGTTTGCTCCCAATCCATCCCAGTCCATCCCAGTTTGCTCCCAGTCCCTCCCAGTCCCTCCCAGTCCATCCCAATCCCCAATATCTCTGCCCCAGTCGCTCCCAGTCCCTCCCAGTCCATCCCAATCCCCAATATCTCTGCC